AAATGAATCAGGAAAAGCAGTAAGGGCAACCACATATGAGACTGTAGAAGGCACACAAGAGTAAGAAGAGAAGGAGGATAAGGAAAGCTCACAAGCAAAGTGGCCACTTGGTGGGTGAACCAATGGAAAAAGGAAGACATTTCTCTCTGTCTTTCACTGTCCTACTCTGTCTGCCAAAACACACACACACACACGCACACACACACAGTCAACATAAGGTGGGGACTTGAGGAGGGCTCAGGAGGCTCTTGAGGAAAAGCTGCTGAGACAGGCAGGCTGTAGGGAACCATGAGGAAGGGAGATTCTTACAATATGCTGAAGGTGCCGTTGTAGCTGTTGGGCTCTGGTACAGGAACTTTGTGAAGCTTCTGCACTGGGCTGAGGCCAGTGCATGAAAGTGTCTCATCTTTGCAGGAGCAGAGCTCACAGACATTTATGGTGGCAGCCGCATTCAGGGGTTGATCTATGACTTCAGTTAGGGTTGAGTGCTGAGTCTGAACCTGGCCTGGATGTAGATCTGTAGTCTTCTTCAGGGATGGAGAATGGCCAGCTTTTGCAGTGGGTACCAGAGTTCTGGTAAGCTCCATCTTGGAAGGCTGAGCTATGACACTGGGTGATGTTGGGTGCTGAGCTTGATGCTGACCTGCTGTTGGAACTGTCATCTCATTGTACCCTGGGGACTGAGTTACAAGCTCCTTTAGTGGCTCTGTAGACTGAGTTAGGGTCATTTGCATGGTAGTAGAAGGTGTAACCTCTGTAGTAGTTGTGGGGTGTGGGTAATTTCCAGGTCCCAAGGCTTAACTGTGACTGGAGGTAGGTTTGCATGCTGAGTCTGAATCTGGACTGGAGGTGAAAATGTCACCTCAGGAGGATGGCGGAATAGTGAGGGCGCGCACCGATAGTCTGGGAAAAGATAGTTTAATAAAAGTGGAGTTACGGTAGCCTCAGGAAAAGGGTCAGGAAAAAATTGCAGAGGAAACTTCCGGATCTAGTGGCTGTGACTCGGAGGACCTACAGGGAGAGCAAGGTTGCCCACCACGTGGAAGCCAAGCCACAGGAGCCGCAGAGTCTGCGCGCCAGTGCTGGAAGGGGAGAAGGAAAATTGAAGAAGCTCAAACTGCCTCAGTAAGACTTGAGCAAACATCAATCTCTGGAGTTAAGACTTTGGTGGACCTGTGTGGAGAGCGTGGGAGCCCACAGTTTGGACACCAGTGGCAGACTCAACACACCAGTGCTGGAACGCAAGGTGAGCTGAACCTCAATAGCCCGAGACACTGGCAGGCAAGCAGAAAGAGGTAAAAGTTCACCAGGCTAACTAGAAGAGAGAGAGAGAGACAGAAAAAAAAAGTGACCGATACAGACATGACCGATACAGACATGAGTTTCTCTCTCTCTGCTCACCTCTCATAGGCGAGCAAGACAAAGAGCAGGCGCCATCTTGGACATACGTCATAAGCAGGGCGACCTCAGGTCTGCACCGGCCCTGAGCCTAGCAGAAAAACCTAACTTGGGGTGGGGGGTGCATTAACTGGAGATTAGGACCTAGTGAATGTGTGGTGCTACTGAGCTGAGACTGTGAAAAAAGAGACGATGGGGGAGAGAACTCACAGAATTCACGTGAGTACTCTCCAGAGATGCTACAATTCGGTAACCTTGGCAACCCAGTGGGAGACTGCAGGAGAATTTGAGCCCACACTGAGGGCAGGACAGATTCCCTGTGTGGTCCTTGGGAAAGAGCTTCCGATCTCTGGCTCCTGTGGGTATATTATTTGCCTGCTAACTACCTCCAATTCTGTTCAGCTGTGTGGAATTACTTCCCTTTTGAATCAAAAGAAAGAAAGAAAGAAAGAGAGAGAGATTTACCATGCCTTACCTGGGACTGTCACCTTTGGCACACCCTTAACCCTGAGGAACCAAACAGAGCTCTCAGGCCACACCCATCTCATGCCTCTAAGGCTCCATCAAAAACAGACAGTCCACTTAATCCAGAGTCATAGTATAACAAGAAAAAGCACCACAGTGAAGAAACCAAATATCTCCAATATGCCAAACAACAAGCGCAAAAACCAAGGTAATAAGAACAAGGAAGACACTATGATGCCCCCAAATGAAAAAGACACCCCAATTCAAGATTATGAAGATGATGAGATAGAAGAAATGCAAGAAGCGGATCTCATTTATTTCATTATCCATTTTAGTATTTTCTCTTTGTTTTGTTCTAGTACTATTGGTTGAACTCTGTGATTAACACACAATTATTCTTAGGTGTTTAAATTTTAACTGAAAAATGATCCCTGTTAAATATAAGAGTGGGAATAAGAGAGGGAGGAGATGTACAATTTGGGACATGCTCAATCGGACTTGCCCCAAATGGTGGAGTTAGAATCATGCCAGGGGATCCCAATACAATCCCATCAAGGTGGCATGTACCAATGCCATCTCACTAGTCCAAGTGATCAATTTCAGTTCACAATTGATCACACTGATAGGTCTAAGAGTCAAAGGGATCACACAAACAAGTCTAGTGTCTGCTAATACTAGCTGATAGAATCAAAAAGGGAGAGAACAATCCATCATGGGAAGTGGGATACACAGTAAACTCATAGAATGGCAGATGCCCTAAATAGCACTCTTCAGAATCAGCCCTTAAGGCATTCGGATATGGCTGAAGAGCCCATGAGAGTATTTTAGGCATGGAAAGCCAAGACACCCTGGGAAAAAAATAAAGGAAGACCTAAATGGAAGATCTCTGTGAGTGAGATCCCAGTGGAAAGAATGGGGCCATCAAAGAAGGAGGTACCTTTCTCTGAAGGGAGGAGAGAACTTCCACTTTGACTATGACCCTGTCGGAATAAGATCAAAGTCGATGAACTCAAAAGGCTTCCATAGCCTTGGCAACTCATGACAAGAGCCTAGGGAGATTATTGATGCCATAAACAAGAGTGTCAAATTGTTAAGTCAACAACAGAAGTCACTGTGTACTTACTTCTCATGTGGGATCTGTCCTTAGTGTGTTGTCCAATGTGAAGTAATGCTATAACTAGTATGGAAACAGTATTTTACACTTTATGTTCTGTGTGGGTGCAAACTGATGAAATCTTTACTTAATATATACTGAATTGATCTTCTGTATATAAAGATAATTGAAAATTAATCTTGATGTGAATGGAATGATGGGAGGGGTGTGAGTGGGAGGGAAATTGTGGGGGGGGGAGCCATTGTAATCCATTAACTGTACTTTGAAAATTTATATTTACTAAATAAAAAATTTTAAAAAAAGAAAAAAAAGAAAATGTCAAAATGTCACCTCAGAGTACATTGGATAAGGAGGAGGAGATATAGACTTGAAGGCTGTAGAATGTCATCCTGTGTAGTGGATATCTGAGTTATGGTTGGCTCTAGCTTTGAAGGTTCAGCTGTGGCACTGGGTGACAATGGATGCAGAGTTTGATCTTGACTTGGTTTTGGAACTACATTCTCATAATAAACTGGAGGATGATAGACCACTTCATTATGTGGCCCTGGAGGCTGCCCTGAAGTCTCCTGCATGGTTGGGAGTGGTTCACCCTTCACAACGGATTCTGGAGTTAGGGTAAGTTCTACATCAAAAGGTTGAACTGTGACTTCTGTCAGGGTTGAATGCTGAGCCTGAACCTGGTGTGGTTGTGAAAGTACCTCCTCATGGAGCACGGGAGGTACTTTAGTCTTCTTCAGGGCTGTAGAATGTTCAGCCTTCCTGGTACGCTTTGCATTTATGGTAAGCACTGTGTCCAAAGGCTGAACTGTGATGTGAGGCAATGTTGGATATTGAGCTTGATTATGACCCAGTGTTGGAACTGTCACCTCTTGATGTATTGGAGATTGGGTTACACCCTCCTTGGGAGGTTGACTTGAGGTCTCCTGCATGTCTGTAGAGGGTTCAGTCACCATACTGCTGGTTTCTGGAGTTATGGTAAGTCCCAGGTCCAGATGTTGAGTTGTGACTGGAGTCAGGTTTGAAGATGGAGCTGTAGTCTTGCTCAGGTCTGCAGGATGCTCAGCCTCTGTAGTAGGTTCTGTAGTAATGGTAAGTGCCAGGTCTAAAGGTTGATTTGTGACACTGGGTGATAGTGGAGGTTGATTTTGATCCTGACCTAATGTTGGAACTGTCATCACATGATGCACTGGTACTGAGCTACAGTTTCTTTAGTTGGAGTCTCCTGCACATTTGTGGCAAGTTCAGCCTCTGTAATGGGCTGTGGAGTTATTGTAAGTGCCAGATCAAAAGGTCAAAACGTGATGCGGGGTGATTTTGGAAACTGATCTTGATCCTGAGCTGGTGTTGGAACTGTCACCCCCTGATATCCTGGGGGTTGAGCTATACCCCCCTTAGATGGCCCTGGAAGCTGAACTGGGGCCTCCTGCATGATTGGAGAAAGTCCGCCTTCCATTCCAGGTTGTGTAGTTATGGTGAGTTCCACATCCAAAGGTTGACCTGTGACTTTGGTCAGGTTTGGTTGCTGAGTTTGAAGCTCCTGCTGGGTTGCAGATGATTGAGTGTTAGGGAAGTCTTGTGGCTTGGCTGGGGCTACATTTTGTACTGGAGCTTGTTCTGCATTCCTGAGGGGCTCTGGAGGCTCAGCTGAGAAAGTTCCATCTTTTCAGGCAGTGCCAGAGGCTTGGCAAGAGGAGGCTCAAGCTGGGTTGGAGAAAATTCAACTCACTCGGTGGGAACTGTAGGCTGGGCAGGTCCTTCCTGCTGACTCCAGTAAGGACAAACTTCTGGAGTGGGCTTTAGGGTTCTGGTAAGGTCAATATCCACATGTTTTGGTGTGGTTTTAGACAACCTTAAATGCTGAGTTCTAAGTATTTCTTCCGGAATAAGAGGTGAAAATAATGTCATATTCATTGGGATAGCATCACTCATCTCTGGGAAGATTACTGAAGGCTGGTTTGTGTTTCCCTGTTGGAGTGGTAATTGGTAAGCACTTACGGGGCACTCTAGAGGTGGAACGGAAATCCCCTGCTGGCTTGGTGAAGGTTCCTTCAGTTCTTCAGGCTGAGCTGGGACCCCTGGAACTGGGGAGTGCTCATCCTCTTCCGGGGGCTTTGGCTGCTGAGCTGTGTCTGCCTCCTGGTCTTTCAAAGGCTCATGCTTCATAGGGAACACTGAGGCGTGAGCTTGGGCTTCCTGATGGATTGGAGAAGGTCCAGCCTCCACGGGGATCTGTACATAATGGGTTCTCTGGCTCAATAGTCAGCTGCTTGCTGGTATTGTTCTTCCAGGCTTGCAATATCTTCATGAATGCCCCCTTTGGGTTCCCTATAGATGCTTCTTCAACTGTCAAAAAAAGAAGAGACTGCTTTTTGGCACAGAAGACTGATGGGACAGTTTTATGTCAGTCCACAGCCCTACACTCTGATCAATTAAATTAGGAGTCAAATCTAATATTTGGGGTACCATTGAGACTTTAAATTTAAAAAAGAATTTTTTGACGGGCAGAGTGGACAGTGAGAGAGAGAGAAACAGAGAGAAAGGTCTTCCTTTTGCCGTTGGTTCACCCTCCAGTGGCCGCCACGGCTGGCGTGCTGTGGCCTGCGCACCGCGCTGATCCAAAGGCAGGAGCCAGGTGCTTCTCTTGGTCTCCCATGGGGTGCAGGGCCTAAGCACTTGGGCCATCCTCCACTGCCTTCCCTGGCCACAGCAGACAGCTGGCCTGGAAGAGGGGCAACCGGGAAAGAATCCAGCTCCCCGACCGGGACTAGAACCAAGTGGGCCAGTGCCGCTAGGTGGAGGATTAGCCTACTGAGCCGTGCCGGCCATCATTGAGACTTTAGAGAGAAAAGCAAAACCAAACTCAAACCTTATGAAATGGCAACAACAAAGGAGAAAAAGGTATTTTTGAGAGGGGCGTTCAGAAGAGTTCACAGTGTTAAAAAAGCAGTAACTATGATCAGTATTATTTCATTGGTTTCCAATGACCAACCACTCCAGGCTTAGAATAAGGCTGGAGGACAAATGGCCCCACCCAGCTGCCCCTTCTGTGGCTCTGCCCCTGCTTCTCAGCCACATCATTCCACAGTCCTGCCTCATGCTGAGGGAGCACAGGCTTCCTCCCTCCCTCCCTCCCTGTGGCCCTGTGTTCTTTTTGCCATCACAGGTGTCCATGGCAAAAGATAGGCATGTAAGGGGAGTGAGGGCAGAGGTGGTCAAGCCAAGGGGCCTTGCTCCTCACCTCAATGTGTTCTTTCCCACCCTTGTAAAGGGAGATTAACAATGCTTGTCCTTCTCACCTCTTGAGACGAAGGGAATAATAAAATTGGTAGGAAACTGGTCAGAAAGGTGAGCAACACTGTGTAGATGGGTATACAGTTATCACTGTGCTAATGCCTCAGATCCCTGACTGAGATCCGAATTCAAGCTGTCTAAGGAAGAAAGTGGTCACATTTTGGAAGTCATGACATCAGTGGTAATAACCCTCATCTACAGAAAGATACTTAAAAGTACCCGAGTGTTCTGTGGATAGAAAAGCGTGAGACTCAGAGCAGGTTCAGAATTGGACAGTCTACAGGAATGGAGGAGCCTTCCGACTGCATCAGAGGAGCCAGGCAGCCATTTCTGGTTGTGGGACCAGAAACTCCCAGGCTCCCAATAAAACAGCATCACTTGTACTCTTTTCTACAAGTGCAAAAACAAACAACCGCAGTGAGCAGTGTAGACCTGTTCTATAAGACAGAGGGCCCTTGAGGCCCAACACATAGAAAACCAGTTTATAGACTGTGTGCAAATGAGTTATCATTGGAAAGCAAAGCACCCAAGAGCACAGAACACCACGTGTGTGGTTCCCAACATTACTTCCTTCCCCTTCCATCTCTTTTTCATGATCCTTTGTGCATATGTAAGTTACATTATTAAATTACATAGTGGTAATTGGGAACCTGACTTTTAGCAAGGGAGCAGTTTAGCAATTTAGGGAGTTGAAATCTGAATGGATGAATAAAAATATAGCAGTTAATCACATTGTTACTTTAAACTTGTCCCTAAAATTTTAAAGTAAGAAATTTAAAACAAATAAAAATTAAAAAAAAAGATCATCAGGTAGTTCCGACTCACGCCAATGTGTCGTATTTGCCAGGCTTGATGGTCATGCAGACACTCTTGATAGTATGTTTAAATTGGCAGAGGCAGCAGGCCATATGGCTAGGTAAGATCCTATGAATAGAAACAAAGAACTAAGTTACCTGTAAAGGGGTTCCTTGGGTGGGTCAAACAGGTGAGCCAAGGTGCCAGCAAAGGCGTTCTTGAGGTGTGCGGCCAGGACATCTGGGTAGGTGCCTGGTGGCCAATTGTTGCTCTTGAATATGAGACTAGAGGAAGGAGGGAGAGGTGCCCAGAGAAGGAGTAGGCATGGAAGTGGGTGTGGTGTGCCAGCACCTGGAAGGGAGCAGAAGACCCCAGGTAATCAAAGCCGCCAGGGTCTGCCATGGGTGTGAGCGAGTCAGGCGATTCAGGTGAGACATTCAAGGAGTGGGAAGACCAGGGCTCAGAGAGCCAAGGGATCTTAACTGGGAGCCCCTGGTCTTCCCATGTGGGGTCTCCTAAGTGATGGGAAAGTGCAGGTCTCCTGTCCTCACCTTACTCGACTCCTGCTCTTTCTGTCCACTCGGGGCTTCTGTACTCTCATTGATATAGGTCTCAGTCCTCCACTGCTCTGTGTCCCATTCTTCCTTGGCTATCTTTTCTTCCTGCTGCTCACTGAGGAGCTTCATCAGGATGCCTGTTTTGGAGATGAGCTTGGCACAGGGCAGTTGTGCCTGTGCTTCAGAGCAGTCCATTTTCAGAGTGCGGATGACGTGAGAAATGAGCTTTTTCATGTCCGTGTTGGGGATGAGGGACCGTAGCTGCTGATTCAGCTGAATTTCAAACTGTTCTCCCTGGGACAGCATCACGGGGTAGGTGAAGCCTGCGGGCATGGTGGGGGCTTCAGTGCCCTCGCTGGGGTATTCCCACTGTGTTTCCTTGGTTTGGTCCACAGTTGGCATTACGTTGAACTCGGTCCCAGCAGAATCTGTAGCTGAAGGATCTATGTGCATTTTGTCGCCAGGGAGCGTTTCTTCATGCACAGTGGTGTTTTCTGTCAAAATATTTTCTTTGAAAACACGCCCTCTGGAATGGTTTTCCTCCCGTGTCTTCTATAGAAGGTTCTGAAAGTGCCAATTCTCTCAGAGGAGGACTCCCCTGAGAATGCAGGACTCTGGGGGATGAGAAAGCCTCTCCGGATGGGGAATTTATGAGACTCCGCAGTGCAGGGAACGGAGGCCTCTTCCCAGCCGTCAGCCTGTTGAGGGAATTTTTCCTTCTGAACTTCTGACTCAGTTTGGCCTTGGGGGTTCGGAGGACCAGGTGAGAGAGAGCGAGTTTTATGAAAGCGGTAATTCTGTCTGGAATGCGAGATTGGTTTCCCTGCCGCCTTATTTTTGGCTCTAGCATTGGCATCTTCTAAGACAAAAATGGTGTAGGTTAAGTCTTCCTTTGTTGTTGATCTCAGAGAGAGATTTTGGAGGGGAGGTAGAAGGCCTGCCCAGGATGTGTTTCTTCAGGAAAGAGGGGGCTGCAGCCTCACGTTCCTTCGTGAGCAAGGGCTCCATGTGCAAGGAGTTTCCGGCCACCTGCCTGGGCCTCTGAGCCACTTGAAGCTCCTTCAGCTCCCTGGAGCCTGCTCTCCCAAGCCTTCTTCCCCCAATGCTCTCCGCAAAGGGCCAGGTGCCCTGTCTCCTCCCGAGGCTCTTCCTCATCTGGAGGTGCCTTTCCCGTAAGCCCTTTGGCCCCTTGGTGACTTTTTTCACTCTCTGCAGCCTGTACCCCACACTTGGCATGGTTGCCAGGCTGTTCTTCTGTGATGGGGCAGTTTCTGATTTCTTTAGGAGGATTTGAGGGTTAAATTGAGGACCTAACAGGATAGGCTGCATAAGTGTGGCTTTTTCTTCCTTTTTAACCTCATCGATTTTTTTCTTGAATAACTTCATCTAACAAATTCTCCAGAAAATAGAGCTTTCTCAACTTATTTCTGTAAGGATGAGAGGGCCTCCTTATGTGGGTTTTCACATAGCTCAGGGACTTATCTCTATCTTGCACATTTGAAAAAAGCAGTGTAATGAATGGTAATAATGTTGATTCTACATTTTGTAGATTTTCCTCTGAGAAATAAGGCAATAATAAGTGCACTAATAACGTCACTTTCATCGTTGAGGTCCCGCTGTTCACTCATGCGGCCTGGGAAGTCCACACTGTTTCTCCTTGATACTGAGTTCTCTGGCTCAATAGTCAGCTGCTTGCTGGTATTGTTCTTCCAGGCTTGCAATATCTTCATGAATGCCCCCTTTGGGTTCCCTATAGATGCTTCTTCAACTGTCAAAAAAAGAAGAGACTGCTTTTTGGCACAGAAGACTGATGGGACAGTTTTATGTCAGTCCACAGCCCTACACTCTGATCAATTAAATTAGGAGTCAAATCTAATATTTGGGGTACCATTGAGACTTTAAATTTAAAAAAGAATTTTTTGACGGGCAGAGTGGACAGTGAGAGAGAGAGAAACAGAGAGAAAGGTCTTCCTTTTGCCGTTGGTTCACCCTCCAGTGGCCGCCACGGCTGGCGTGCTGTGGCCTGCGCACCGCGCTGATCCAAAGGCAGGAGCCAGGTGCTTCTCTTGGTCTCCCATGGGGTGCAGGGCCCAAGCACTTGGGCCATCCTCCACTGCCTTCCCTGGCCACAGCAGAGAGCTGGCCTGGAAGAGGGGCAACCGGGAAAGAATCCAGCTCCCCGACCGGGACTAGAACCAAGTGGGCCAGTGCCGCTAGGTGGAGGATTAGCCTACTGAGCCGTGCCGGCCATCATTGAGACTTTAGAGAGAAAAGTAAAACCAAACTCAAACCTTATGAAAAGGCAACAACAAAGGAGAAAAAGGTATTTTTGAGAGGGGCATTCAGAAGAGTTCACAGTGTTAAAAAGCAGTAACTATGATCAGTATTATTTCATTGGTTTCCAATGACCAACCACTCCAGGCTTAGAATAAGGCTGGAGGACAAATGGCCCCACCCAGCTGCCCCTTCTGTGGCTCTGCCCCTGCTTCTCAGCCACATCATTCCACAGTCCTGCCTCATGCTGAGGGAGCACAGGCTTCCTCCCTCCCTCCCTCCCTGTGGCCCTGTGTTCTTTTTGCCATCACAGGTGTCCATGGCAAAAGATAGGCATGTAAGGGGAGTGAGGGCAGAGGTGGTCAAGCCAAGGGGCCTTGCTCCTCACCTCAATGTGTTCTTTCCCACCCTTGTAAAGGGAGATTAACAATGCTTGTCCTTCTCACCTCTTGAGACGAAGGGAATAATATAATTGGTAGGAAACTGGTCTGGAAGGTGAGCAACACTGTGTAGATGGGTATACAGTTATCACTGTGCTAATGCCTCAGATCCCTGACTGAGATCCGAATTCAAGCTGTCTAAGGAAGAAAGTGGTCACATTTTGGAAGTCATGACATCAGTGGTAATAACCCTCATCTACAGAAAGATACTTGTTCTGTGGATAGAAAAGCGTGAGACTCAGAGCAGGTTCAGAATTGGACAGTCTACAGGAATGGAGGAGCCTTCCGACTGCATCAGAGGAGCCAGGCAGCCATTTCTGGTTGTGGGACCAGAAACTCCCAGGCTCCCAATAAAACAGCATCACTTGTACTCTTTTCTACAAGTGCAAAAACAAACAACCACAGTGAGCAGTGTAGACCTGTTCTATAAGACAGAGGGCCCTTGAGGCCCAACACATAGAAAACCAGTTTATAGACTGTGTGCAAATGAGTTATCATTGGAAAGCAAAGCACCCAAGAGCACAGAACACCACGTGTGTGGTTCCCAACATTACTTCCTTCCCCTTCCATCTCTTTTTCATGATCCTTTGTGCATATGTAAGTTACATTATTAAATTACATAGTGGTAATTGGGAACCTGACTTTTAGCAAGGGAGCAGTTTAGCAATTTAGGGAGTTGAAATCTGAATGGATGAATAAAAATATAGCAGTTAATCACATTGTTACTTTAAACTTGTCCCTAAAATTTTAAAGTAAGAAATTTAAAACAAATAAAAATTAAAAAAAAAAAAAAGATCATCAGGTAGTTCCGACTCACGCCAATGTGTCGTATTTGCCAGGCTTGATGGTCATGCAGACACTCTTGATAGTATGTTTAAATTGGCAGAGGCAGCAGGCCATATGGCTAGGTAAGATCCTATGAATAGAAACAAAGAACTAAGTTACCTGTAAAGGGGTTCCTTGGGTGGGTCAAACAGGTGAGCCAAGATGCCAGCAAAGGCGTTCTTGAGGTGTGCGGCCAGGACATCTGGGTAGGTGCCTGGTGGCCAATTGTTGCTCTTGAATATGAGACTAGAGGAAGGAGGGAGAGGTGCCCAGAGAAGGAGTAGGCATGGAAGTGGGTGTGGTGTGCCAGCACCTGGAAGGGAGCAGAAGACCCCAGGTAATCAAAGCCGCCAGGGTCTGCCATGGGTGTGAGCGAGTCAGGCGATTCAGGTGGGACATTCAAGGAGTGGGAAGACCAGGGCTCAGAGAGCCAAGGGATCTGGACTGGGAGCCCCTGGTCTTCCCATGTGGGGTCTCCTAAGTGATGGGAAAGTGCAGGTCTCCTGTCCTCACCTTACTCGACTCCTGCTCTTTCTGTCCACTCGGGGCTTCTGTACTCTCATTGATATAGGTCTCAGTCCTCCACTGCTCTGTGTCCCATTCTTTCTTGGCTATCTTTTCTTCCTGCTGCTCACTGAGGAGCTTCATCAGGATGCCTGTTTTGGAGATGAGCTTGGCACAGGGCAGTTGCGCCTGGGCCTCAGAGCAGTCCATTTTCAGAGTGCGGATGACGTGAGAAATGAGCTTTTTCATGTCCGTGTTGGGGATGAGGGACCGTAGCTGCTGATTCAGCTGAATTTCAAACTGTTCTCCCTGGGACAGCATCACGGGGTAGGTGAAGCCTGCGGGCATGGTGAGGGCTTCAGTGCCCTCGCTGGGGTATTCCCACTGTGTTTCCTTGGTTTGGTCCACAGTTGGCATTACGTTGAACTCGGTCCCAGCAGAATCTGTAGCTGAAGGATCTATGTGCATTTTGTCGCCAGGGAGCGTTTCTTCATGCACAGTGGTGTTTTCTGTCAAAATATTTTCTTCGAAAACACGCCCTCCGGAATGGTTTTCCTCCCGTGTCTTCTATAGAAGGTTCTGAAAGTGCCAATTCTCTCAGAGGAGGACTCCCCTGAGAATGCAGGCCTCCGGGGGATGAGAAAGCCTCTCCGGATGGGGAATTTATGAGACTCCGCAGTGCAGGGAACGGAGGCCTCTTCCCAGCCGTCAGCCTGTTGAGGGAATTTTTCCTTCTGAACTTCTGACTCAGTTTGGCCTTGGGGGTTCGGAGGACCAGGTGAGAGAGAGCGAGTTTTATGAAAGCGGTAATTCTGTCTGGAATGCGAGATTGGTTTCCCTGCCGCCTTATTTTTGGCTCTAGCATTGGCATCTTCTAAGACAAAAATGGTGTAGGTTAAGTCTTCCTTTGTTGTTGATCTCAGAGAGAGATTTTGCAGGGGAGGTAGAAGGCCTGCCCAGGATGTGTTTCTTCAGGAAAGAGGAGGCTGCAGCCTCACGTTCCTTTGTGAGCAAGGGCTCCGTGTGCAAGGAGTTTCCGGCCACCTGCCTGGGCCTCTGAGCCACTTGAAGCTCCTTCAGCTCCCTGGAGCCTGCTCTCCCAAGCCTTCTTCCCCCAATGCTCTCCGCAAAGGGCCAGGTGCCCCGTCTCCTCCCGAGGCTCTTCCTCATCTGGAGGTGCCTTTCCCGTAAGCCCTTTGGCCCCTTGGTGACTTTTTTCACTCTCTGCAGCCTGTACCCCACACTTGGCATGGTTGCCAGGCTGTTCTCCTGTGACGGGGCAGTTTCTGATTTCTTTTGGAGGATTTGAGGGTTAAATTGAGGACCTAACAGGATAGGCTGCATAAGTGTGGCTTTTTCTTCCTTTTTAACCTCATCGATTTTTTTCTTGAATTACTTCATCTAACAAATTCTCCAGAAAATAGAGCTTTCTCAACTTATTTCTGTAAGGATGAGAGGGCCTCCTTATGTGGGTTTTCACATAGCTCAGGGACTTATCTCTATCTTGCACATTTGAAAAAAGCAGTGTAATGAATGGTAATAATGTTGATTCTACATTTTGTAGATTTTCCTCTGAGAAATAAGGCAATAATAAGTGCACTAATAATGTCACTTTCATCGTTGAGGTCCCGCTGTTCACTCATGCGGCCTGGGAAGTCCACGCTGTTTCTCTTTGATACTGAGTTCTCTGGCTCAATAGTCAGCTGCTTGCTGGTGTTGTTCTTCCAGGCTTGCAATATCTTCATGAATGCCCCCTTTGGGTTCCCTATAGATGCTTCTTCAACTGTCAAAAAAAGAAGAGACTGCTTTTTGGCACAGAAGACTGATGGGACAGTTTTATGTCAGTCCACAGCCCTACACTCTGATCAATTAAATTAGGAGTCAAATCTAATATTTGGGATACCATTGAGACTTTAAATTTTAAAAAGAATTTTTTGACGGGCAGAGTGGACAGTGAGAGAGAGAGAAACAGAGAGAAAGGTCTTCCTTTTGCCGTTGGTTTGCCCTCCAATGGCCGCCACGGCTGGCGTGCTGTGGCCTGTGCACCGCGCAGATCCAAAGGCAGGAGCCAGGTGCTTCTCTTGGTCTCCCATGGGGTGCAGGGCCCAAGCACTTGGGCCATCCTCCACTGCCTTCCCTGGCCACAGCAGAGAGCTGGCCTGGAAGAGGGGCAACCGGGAAAGAATCCAGCTCCCCGACCGGGACTAGAACCAAGTGGGCCAGTGCCGCTAGGTGGAGGATTAGCCTATTGAGCTGGGGCGCCAGCGATCATTGAGACTTTAGAGAGAAAAGTAAAACCAAACTCAAACCTTATGAAAAGGCAACAACAAAGGAGAAAAAGGTATTTTTGAGAGGGGCATTCAGAAGAGTTCACAGTGTTAAAAAGCAGTAACTATGATCAGTATTATTTCATTGGTTTCCAATGACCAACCACTCCAGGCTTAGAATAAGGCTGGAGGACAAATGGCCCCACCCAGCTGCCCCTTCTGTGGCTCTGCCCCATTGCACAGTCCTGCCTCAGTCCTGCCTCATGCTGAGGGAGCACAGGCTTCCTCCCTCCCTCCCTCCCTCCCTCCCTGTGGCCCTGTGTTCTTGCTGCCATCACAGGTGTCCATGGCAAAAGATAGGCATGTAAGGGGAGTGAGGGCAGAGGTGGTCAAGCCAAGGGGCCTTGCTCCTCACCTCAATGTGTTCTTTCCCACCCTTGTAAAGGGAGATTAACAATGCTTGTCCTTCTCACCTCTTGAGACGAAGGGAATAATATAATTGGTAGGAAACTGGTCTGGAAGGTGAGCAACACTGTGTAGATGGGTATACAGTTATCACTGTGCTAATGCCTCAGATCCCTGACTGAGATCCGAATTCAAGCTGTCTAAGGAAGAAAGTGGTCACATTTTGGAAGTCATGACATCAGTGGTAATAACCCTCATCTACAGAAAGATACTTAAAAGTACCCGAGTGTTCTGTGGATAGAAAAGTGTGAGACTCAGAGCAGGTTCAGAGTTGGACAGTCTACAGGAATGGAGGAGCCTTCCGACTGCATCAGAGGAGCCAGGCAGCCATTTCTGGTTATGGGACCAGAAACTCCCAGGCTCCCAATAAAACAGCATCACTTGTACTCTTCTCTACAAGTGCAAAAACAAACAACCGCAGTGAGCAGTGTAGACCTGTTCTATAAGACAGAGGGCCCTTGAGGCCCAACACATAGAAAACCAGTTTATAGACTGTGTGCAAATGAGTTATCATTGGAAAGCAAAGCACCCAAGAGCACAGAACACCACATGTGTGGTTCCCAACATTACTTCCTTCCCCTTCCATCTCTTTTTCATGATCCTTTGTGCATATGTAAGTTACATTATTAAATTACATAGTGGTAATTGGGAACCTGACTTTTAGCAAGGGAGCAGTTTAGCAATTTAGGGAGTTGAAATCTGAATGGATGAATAAAAATATAGCAGTTAATCACATTGTTACTTTAAACTTGTCCCTAAAATTTTAAAGTAAGAAATTTAAAAAAATTAAAAAAAAAAAAAAAAGATCATCAGGTAGTTCCGACTCACGCCAATGTGTCGTATTTGCCAGGCTTGATGGTCATGCAGACACTCTTGATAGTATGTTTAAATTGGCAGAGGCAGCAGGCCATATGGCTAGGTAAGATCCTATGAATAGAAACAAAGAACTAAGTTACCTGTAAAGGGGTTCCTTGGGTGGGTCAAACAGGTGAGCCAAGGTGCCAGCAAAGGCGTTCTTGAGGTGTGCGGCCAGGACATCTGGGTAGGTGCCTGGTGGCCAATTGTTGCTCTTGAATATGAGACTAGAGGAAGGAGGGAGAGGTGCCCAGAGAAGGAGTAGGCATGGAAGTGGGTGTGGTGTGCCAGCACCTGGAAGGGAGCAGAAGACCCCAGGTAATCAAAGCCGCCAGGGTCTGCCATGGGTGTGAGCGAGTCAGGCGATTCAGGTGGGACATTCAAGGAGTGGGAAGACCAGGGCTCAGAGAGCCAAGGGATCTTAACTGGGAGCCCCTGGTCTTCCCATGTGGGGTCTCCTAAGTGATGGGAAAGTGCAGGTCTCCTGTCCTCACCTTACTCGACTCCTGCTCTTTCTGTCCACTCGGGGCTTCTGTACTCTCATTGATATAGGTCTCAGTCCTCCACTGCTCTGTGTCCCATTCTTTCTTGGCTATCTTTTCTTCCTGCTGCTCACTGAGGAGCTTCATCAGGATGCCTGTTTTGGAGATGAGCTTGGCACAGGGCAGTTGTGCCTGGGCCTCAGAGCAGTCCATTTTCAGAGTGCGGATGACGTGAGAAATGAGCTTTTTCATGTCCGTGTTGGGGATGAGGGACCGTAGCTGCTGATTCAGCTGAATTTCAAACTGTTCTCCCTGGGACAGCATCACGGGGTAGGTGAAGCCTGCGGGCATGGTGGGGGCTTCAGTGCCCTCGCTGGGGTATTCCCACTGTGTTTCCTTGGTTTGGTCCACAGTTGGCATTACGTTGAACTCGGTCCCAGCAGAATCTGTAGCTGAAGGATCTATGTGCATTTTGTCGCCAGGGAGCGTTTCTTCATGCACAGTGGTGTTTTCTGTCAAAATATTTTCTTCGAAAACACGCCCTCCGGAATGGTTTTCCTCCCGTGTCTTCTATAGAAGGTTCTGAAAGTGCCAATTCTCTCAGAGGAGGACTCCCCTGAGAATGCAGGCCTCCGGGGGATGAGAAAGCCTCTCCGGATGGGGAATTTATGAGACTCCGCAGTGCAGGGAACGGAGGCCTCTTCCCAGCCGTCAGCCTGTTGAGGGAATTTTTCCTTCTGAACTTCTGACTCAGTTTGGCCTTGGGGGTTCGGAGGACCAGGTGAGAGAGAGCGAGTTTTATGAAAGCGGTAATTCTGTCTGGAATGCGAGATTGGTTTCCCTGCCGCCTTATTTTTGGCTCTAGCATTGGCATCTTCTAAGACAAAAATGGTGTAGGTTAAGTCTTCCTTTGTTGTTGATCTCAGAGAGAGATTTTGGAGGGGAGGTAGAAGGCCTGCCCAGGATGTGTTTCTTCAGGAAAGAGGGGGCTGCAGCCTCACGTTCCTTCGTGAGCAAGGGCTCCATGTGCAAGGAGTTTCCGGCCACCTGCCTGGGCCTCTGAGCCACTTGAAGCTCCTTCAGCTCCCTGGAGCCTGCTCTCCCAAGCCTTCTTCCCCCAATGCTCTCCGCAAAGGGCCAGGTGCCCTGTCTCCTCCCGAGGCTCTTCCTCATCTCCTGGAGGTGCCTTTCCCGTAAGCCCTTTGGCCCCTTGGTGACTTTTTTCACTCTCTGCAGCCTGTACCCCACACTTGGCATGGTTGCCAGGCTGTTCTTCTGTGATGGGGCAGTTTCTGATTTCTTTAGGAGGATTTGAGGGTTAAATTGAGGACCTAACAGGATAGGCTGCATAAGTGTGGCTTTTTCTTCCTTTTTAACCTCATCGATTTTTTTCTTGAATAACTTCATCTAACAAATTCTCCAGAAAATAGAGCTTTCTCAACTTATTTCTGTAAGGATGAGAGGGCCTCCTTATGTGGGTTTTCACATAGCTCAGGGACTTATCTCTATCTTGCACATTTGAAAAAAGCAGTGTAATGAATGGTAATAATGTTGATTCTACATTTTGTAGATTTTCCTCTGAGAAATAAGGCAATAATAAGTGCACTAATAACGTCACTTTCATCGTTGAGGTCCCGCTGTTCACTCATGCGGCCTGGGAAGTCCACACTGTTTCTCCTTGATACTGAGTTCTCTGGCTCAATAGTCAGCTGCTTGCTGGTATTGTTCTTCCAGGCTTGCAATATCTTCATGAATGCCCCCTTTGGGTTCCCTATAGATGCTTCTTCAACTGTCAAAAAAAGAAGAGACTGCTTTTTGGCACAGAAGACTGCTGGGACAGTTTTATGTCAGTCCACAGCCCTACACTCTGATCAATTAAATTAGGAGTCAAATCTAATATTTGGGGTACCATTGAGACTTTAAACTTTAAAAAGAATTTTTTGACGGGCAGAGTGGACAGTGAGAGAGAGAGAAACAGAGAGAAAGGTCTTCCTTTTGCCGTTGGTTTGCCCTCCAATGGCCGCCACGGCTGGCGTGCTGTGGCCTGTGCACCGCGCAGATCCAAAGGCAGGAGCCAGGTGCTTCTCTTGGTCTCCCATGGGGTGCAGGGCCCAAGCACTTGGGCCATCCTCCACTGCCTTCCCTGGCCACAGCAGAGAGCTGGCCTGGAAGAGGGGCAACCGGGAAAGAATCCAGCTCCCCGACCGGGACTAGAACCAAGTGGGCCAGTGCCGCTAGGTGGAGGATTAGCCTACTGAGCCGTGCCGGCCATCATTGAGACTTTAGAGAGAAAAGTAAAACCAAACTCAAACCTTATGAAAAGGCAACAACAAAGGAGAAAAAGGTATTTTTGAGAGGGGCATTCAGAAGAGTTCACAGTGTTAAAAAGCAGTAACTATGATCAGTATTATTTCATTGGTTTCCAATGACCAACCACTCCAGGCTTAGAATAAGGCTGGAGGACAAATGGCCCCACCCAGCTGCCCCTTCTGTGGCTCTGCCCCTGCTTCTCAGCCACATCATTGCACAGTCCTGCCTCATGCTGAGGGAGCACAGGCTTCCTCCCTCCCTCCCTCCCTCCCTCCCTCCCTCCCTCCCTCCCTGTGGCCCTGTGTTCTTGCTGCCATCACAGGTGTCCATGGCAAAAGATAGGCATGTAAGGGGAGTGAGGGCAGAGGTGGTCAAGCCAAGGGGCCTTGCTCCTCACCTCAATGTGTTCTTTCCCACCCTTGTAAAGGGAGATTAACAATGCTTGTCCTTCTCACCTCTTGAGACGAAGGGAATAATATAATTGGTAGGAAACCGGTCTGGAAGGTGAGCAACACTGTGTAGATGGGTATACAGTTATCACTGTGCTAATGCCTCAGATCCCTGACTGAGATCCGAATTCAAGCTGTCTAAGGAAGAAAGTGGTCACATTTTGGAAGTCATGACATCAGTGGTAATAACCCTCATCTACAGAAAGATACTTAAAAGTACCCGAGTGTTCTGTGGATAGAAAAGTGTGAGACTCAGAGCAGGTTCAGAATTGGACAGTCTACAGGAATGGAGGAGCCTTCCGACTGCATCAGAGGAGCCAGGCAGCCATTTCTGGTTATGGGACCAGAAACTCCCAGGCTCCCAATAAAACAGCATCACTTGTACTCTTCTCTACAAGTGCAAAAACAAACAACCGCAGTGAGCAGTGTAGACCTGTTCTATAAGACAGAGGGCCCTTGAGGCCCAACACATAGAAAACCAGTTTATAGACTGTGTGCAAATGAGTTATCATTGGAAAGCAAAGCACCCAAGAGCACAGAACACCACATGTGTGGTTCCCAACATTACTTCCTTCCCCTTCCATCTCTTTTTCATGATCCTTTGTGCATATGTAAGTTACATTATTAAATTACATAGTGGTAATTGGGAACCTGACTTTTAGCAAGGGAGCAGTTTAGCAATTTAGGGAGTTGAAATCTGAATGGATGAATAAAAATATAGCAGTTAATCACATTGTTACTTTAAACTTGTCCCTAAAATTTTAAAGTAAGAAATTTAAAACAAATAAAAATTAAAAAAAAAGATCATCAGGTAGTTCCGACTCACGCCAATGTGTCGTATTTGCCAGGCTTGATGGTCATGCAGACACTCTTGATAGTATGTTTAAATTGGCAGAGGCAGCAGGCCATATGGCTAGGTAAGATCCTATGAATAGAAACAAAGAACTAAGTTACCTGTAAAGGGGTTCCTTGGGTGGGTCAAACAGGTGAGCCAAGGTGCCAGCAAAGGCGTTCTTGAGGTGTGCGGCCAGGACATCTGGGTAGGTGCCTGGTGGCCAATTGTTGCTCTTGAATATGAGACTAGAGGAAGGAGGGAGAGGTGCCCAGAGAAGGAGTAGGCATGGAAGTGGGTGTGGTGTGCCAGCACCTGGAAGGGAGCAGAAGACCCCAGGTAATCAAAGCCGCCAGGGTCTGCCATGGGTGTGAGCGAGTCAGGCGATTCAGGTGGGACATTCAAGGAGTGGGAAGACCAGGGCTCAGAGAGCCAAGGGATCTGGACTGGGAGCCCCTGGTCTTCCCATGTGGGGTCTCCTAAGTGATGGGAAAGTGCAGGTCTCCTGTCCTCACCTTACTTGACTCCTGCTCTTTCTGTCCACTCGGGGCTTCTGTACTCTCATTGATATAGGTCTCAGTCCTCCACTGCTCTGTGTCCCATTCTTCCTTGGCTATCTTTTCTTCCTGCTGCTCACTGAGGAGCTTCATCAGGATGCCTGTTTTGGAGGTGAGCTTGGCACAGGGCAGTTGCGCCTGGGCCTCAGAGCTTGGGCTTCCTGATGGATTGGAGAAGGCTCAGCCTCCTTGGGGTCTGTACATTTTCAGCTGTTTCCTCCTGTTGGGTCATGGAGGGTTTCTCATCCTGCATTACTTCTGGGGATTGAATTGGCAATGGTTCAACCTCTTCAAGAGGCTTTGGAGGCATAGCTGGGACTGAGGCCTGAGTTGTCGTGGCCTGATGGCTGACTGGAAATGTTTCCACTTCTGCTGCAGGTTTTGGTGTTACGGTCAGCTGCAGGTCTGGAGGTTTAGTAGTCACATTGTGCAAGTCGTACTGCTGAACTTGATAGTGACCGGGAGATAAAATGGTCACTGCGTGAGGACTTGGAGGCTGGGCTGGGACTTCTGTCTTCTTTCCAGAAGATTCAACCTCCTCAGAAGACTCAGAGGGCTGCCTTGGTTGCTCCTGCTCACTGATATAAGGTTCTGTCTCCATAGGAGGGACTGGAGTCAGAGCTAGGGCTTCCAGCTGGCCTGGAGGAGCTTGAGTCTCCACCAGGGCCTCCGCGTACTGAGCAATCTGCTGCTGTTCTCTGAGAGAAGTCTCTGTCTCCACGGGAGGGCCTGGAGGAGGCTGAGTCTCCACCAGAGCCTCCGCATACTGAGCTATCTGCTCCTGTTCACGGGGAGAAGGTTCTGCCTCCACGGAAGGGCGTGCAGTGTGAGCTCTGGGTGCCTGCTGGAATGGGGAAGGTTCCGTCTCTGCAGAAGGGACCGGAGTCTGCTCTGGGGGTTCCTGCTGGGCTGGAGAAGCTTCTGTCTCCAGGGAAGGGCCCAGAGTTTGATATGGGGTCTCCTGCTGGGCTGGAGAGGGTTTGTTCTCTACAGAAGACTCAACATACTGAGTGGGCTGCTCCTGTTCACTAATATAGGGTTCTGTCTCCACAGGAGGGCCTGGAGTCTGAGCAGAGCCCTCCTGCTGTGCTGGAGCAGCGTCCCGCTCCATGGTAGGCTCCGGAGTTATGGTCAGCGCCACATCTGCAGGCTTGATGGTCACGTTGGGCAGGTTATAACGGTGAACTTGATTCTGATCTAGAGACCAGTCTGTCCCCTTCTGAATCTGTGTTGTCTGAGCTATGATATTCTCTTCAGGAGAGTCTAGCACTTGAGCTTGGGGATCTTGCTGTACTGGAGATTTGACTTCCACAGGGAGTGCCAAAGGCTTCTCCGGGTCTTCCAGTTGGCTTCTAGAAGGTTCGATCTCAGGAGACTCAGAAGGCTGAGCAGGCTGCTCCTGATTGCTGGGGAATATTCAGTGTTCACAGGCAGGCCTGGAGGCTGAGCTGGGGCCCCCTGCTGGCCTACAGATGGGCTGACTTCCTCAGCATACTCTGAGGGCTGAGCTGTGGCATCGTTTTGGGTAGAGAAAGGTCCAGTCTCCTCAGGGAGATCTGAAGTCTGAGCTAGACCCTCTTGAGTCCAAGATTCCACCCTCCCAGGGAATTCCAGAGTCTGCAATGGGGCCTCTTGTTGGGCTGAGGGGAGTCCCACTCCCTCAGGATGCCCCAGAGGCTGAGCTGGAGCCTGCTCCGTGCTTGGAGTAGATTGAACTTCCTCACCTGCCCCTGAGGCTTCTGTCAGCTCCGTGTCTGCAGGTTTCAGTGTGACGCTGGGGAAGTTTGCTTGGAGAGCTACAATCTGAGGTGAGGATAGAGTGTTAGGATCATGATACACTGATGCCTGACCTACTACTTCTGCAGTAGCAAATGGATTCTGAGCGGGGGCCTCCTGCTGCAATGGAGATGCTTCTTCCTCGGGCTGCTGTAGGTCTGCACCTGGGCCCTCTTGCTGGGGTGAAGAAGGTTCATCTGGTTCAATGGGCTGTGGAGGTGGAGCTTGTTCTTCTTGCTGTGGGGAGGAGGATTGGATGGGCTCCTGAGTCTCTGGATTTTGAGTCTGGCCCTCCAGCAGGAATTGAGATGGTTCAGCCTGCTCAGAGGGCTGTGCAGTTTCCCCTGGGTTCTCCTGGGATTCTGTATGAAAACCACCAGGATAGACCCCATAGTCAGCCAGCAAAACTTGATTTTGACCCTGAAGCTTGTCTGCTTTGTCTGGAGTTCCAACACCAACCTTAGGAAGCCATCGACGCCGAGCTAGATCTTTCTTGGGAGTCAGGGGTGAAACAATCAACTTGTTTCCTTGTGAACTCTGACTGTCTAGAGGCAGAACGAGTGCTTCCAATGACTGGTGAGCATTTCCTTCCAGTCGAGGAGGCAGAGCCAGGGGCTGATCCTGATCCCCGTCTAGCACGGGAATCACCTCTGGTAGCCTCTGTTGTCGAGTCAGCCTATTGAAATACTGGTACGGAACAGCAAGCTGTTCTGGCTCTGGGGGCAGTTCCAGAAAAGGAAGCAAACTCACAGTGGACTCTTGAGGCGAGGCCAGCATCTGGGAGAGAGCAGAAGACCGCAGGTCATCAAAGCTGCGGGGTCTGCCGGGGGTCTGAGCGGGTCAGGTGATTCAGGTGGGAAGTTCGAGGAGTGGGAAGACCAGGGCTCAGAGAGCCAAGGGAGGCTGGAGGTCATCTGGACCAGGTCCTGGGTCCACTCCAGAGGCTGAGTCGCCTGGACCAGCAGCCACAGCAGTTGCCACTTGAAGAGGAGCCATGGGACCCACAGGCACAGATGGGTCATTGACGGGGTTTTCAGGATACAGTGACTCAGGCTGCTGGGGCACATGCAGTATGCCCTGAGCAGGAGCTGATGGATTATGGCAGCCCCTTGGAGCACGTGCCTTAGCAACTGTGCACCCCGCCCCACCCTTTATGACACCTGACCTTTATTTACACATTCTTTACTAGGCTCCGCCTCCAGGGCTCTTCAGCTTTGAGCCAGGGCAGCCTTTTTCTACAGCCACTGGGCCCCAGCCTCCGCTGCCCATGCAGAGGCGACAGCTGCCTCCCTGCCAGCCTCATCATCCCTCATCACAAGGCAGGATCTGGGTAACAGACCCAGGTGGTGAAGAACCAAAATTACTCCATTTTAAAACAATAAAAAAAGCAGCCTCCATTTCCCATAGCAGACCCAGGTCCTTGTAAAAGCAGGCATTCAGGCATTCCAGAGATATCAAACTTTACCAGGGACAGCTAGCTCGGTAGACCAAGGACAGCACAGTAGAGATTGCTAAACAAAGTAACTCCCTGCCCCCAAAGCTCCTGTGCTGTAAGCCCCCACTGCAACTCCCTGTACCCAAAGCTTCCATGCTGTATGAACTCTTTTTTCCTGATGATGTAGCCCATTTTTCCTTTAAAAACACTCCCAAACAAAGACTGGGGCCTCACTCCTTCCTCTGCTGCACAGGTTCGTTGGATGGGGTCCCTGTTGTGGCTTGTACTCCCGAAGAAACCTTGCTCTTGCAGTTTGGTGTGATCAACTCTCTGGGGGTCTCTGCGGGGATCTAATGATCTGGGCACAACATATTTGGGGGCTTGTCTGGGATTGTGATCCCCAAAAAGCCCCTCAGCTACTTCGACCCCGAAGGTTTGCTCCAGTTGACTGGGTGAGTTTGTTTGTTTGTTCGTTAAACAATGAATCTGAAGCATCGGCCGTTGTATCTGTATTCTGAATCTGTGGAGGGTCACTGCCCAAGGGGACACGCTTGCAGGGCACACCCCGCAGGAAATGGGAGATGTCCCGATTCCTCATCTGGGACCTGGGTAGGTCCAATCTGTATCTGGGGACGAAGAGAACAGGGACTGCTGCAGAGTTCTCGTCCCATCTGTAAGGTCTTTGGTCTCCTTCAGACTCCCGGAGCAGTCGAGATCTTCTGTAATATGACCATCTGAATCTGTCCGCAGAAATTCTATATGGGCCCTGTGTTTGTCTTTTCGTTAAGTGGTGTTTGTGTTATTTCTGTTGACAACTGACTTAACTGGACAGAATATGGGGTGACTCCACTGGATCTAACTCTTGCACAGTAAAAAAAAATGTAAAAAAAAAGGTGGCTCATAATAATGTAGGTTAAGGGCTGGGTCGGTCGGGCTGGAGCGCAAAGTGGAGTTGGGTGTGCGCCTCCCCCCGGCACCTGGGGAGCAGGCGGCGGGGACTCTGGATGAGAGCTGGGCCCTTCCCATGGATTGCCCCAGCTGCGATGGGAGTTGTGGCCGCCTTCGGGGAGCCTGGCAGGCTCTGCATGCGCGGTGCTCCCAGGGTCGGGGTGCGAGGAGGAGACCCCTCTCCTTTTCCCGCAGTGCCGCGCAGTGCGTGGCCCCTCCCCCCGCCGGGCCCACCCCTGTGGCTTCAGTTCCATGCAGCGGCTGGCCTTGAAGTGGTGCAGACAGCCAACTTAGAAGTGGTGCAGACCGGGGGAATCCAATTGTTAAAGCATCCTGAGGGCCCGTGGCATGTGTTGATGCGATGTGATTTCTGCCCAGTGCTCTAAATGTCAAAGTAAAAAATTTCAATAAAGCGCGGAAAGCCAGCGGGAGCCCTGGGGGGCTGGTGGCATCCCTGAGCTCTTGCTGGCCCTTAAAAATCTGGGGGAGAGGGTATAAATCTCTCACACCGGGCCATACCCATATCTGCAACAGGTCTCCAAGGTGAACAGCCTCTGGTATGTTAAAACAATGTAAATGTTAAAAAGGACAATTACAATTGGGTTAATTTCTGTAAAGGAGAGAGTCCATGTCTGTCGCTCCCCGTCTTCGTGGAGGAACGACACAGGACCCTGTGTTGTTCTTTCGTCTGCTCGGCCCTCCCCGGGTTTGCTGCTGGTTCTTCCCGGGTTGGCTACCGTCCCTTCCACCTCCGTGGAAGGGCGGTTCCCCCTGCCACATTCCCCACTTCCGCGGGGGAGCGGCACACCACCGGCCGGCTCTCTCGGGGGCTGCACAGGTGTTCCTCAGGTGTTCCTGGTGCATGTTGTCTCTCTCCTCCTTTATAGTCCTCCTCCGCCAATCCCAACTCGGCTGCCCACACGCCGAGTACGCTGCTCTCCTCCAATCAGGAGCGGCTCTTGCAGCTTGTCAAGTTGGTGAGAGGCAGTTGGGTAGAAGCTGTACGCTCCTCTCCCAGCGCCACATTGTGGGAGAGCAGATGCATAGAATAAGTCTTAATTCCAGTAACTCAGTCCAGTCCGGGTTGCTCCCCACACATGTCTATTGCCAGGCTCTGCTGGCGGGTTTCAAAGCAGTGGCGCTGTGCGCAAGATTGGCACAAAATTTGATTTTGGCCTTAGAGATTGGCATGGACTGGGTAACTCTCCTCCCCCTTGCCTTATCTCAGAATTTGAACTCTATCTTAAAATCAGGTCTGGTCCAAAGTCTACTCTCCCTGTCTTATCAATGAAACAAATCGGGTATCCCACCCTTCTGATGGCTCTTCTGTTTTATCTCATACAAGCCAGAAGATATTGCTTTGTAACTTGCTGAACTTATTTTGCAATTTGTTTTAAAAAATTTCTGGGTGGTCAGTACTCAATGAAACAGTAATAGGTAATTAGCACTTGTTTTAGATAAATACAATTTTAATTTTAATTAAATTCAGATAGAGATATATAATATCAGGATCTTAAGTCATTTAGGTGTAACTGCTAATTTAAATTGGGTAAAGACAAATGAGATAAGTGTCTAAATGTAAACTTTGGTACTTTCAACACCTTACACCTTATGTTCTATAGAAAAACTACTTAAATTGCTAACGTGTTTTCATAGATTGTCTATATAAAAAGTAGTTCAACATCACTTAAAATTAATTAACACTGAAATTTAATGTGTTACCTTGTTTAAAAATGTTGTCTTAATTTAAAGATTTTAATAGGTTATTTCAAAATGTAAAGCAAGAAAATTGACAGATAAAAAACATCACAAGTATAAAAAATTTTTTGAAGTAAGAGGGTATGCAAAAGTCACAAAAAGTTATAAGAAAAAAATTTTTGGACACGGAAGCTATTACTGATTCTCTGTTAAAGCAATAAGTTAAAGTAATCTATTATGTTCTCTTGATGTCTTTGTTAAATTCTAATTGTTTAAAAACAACTGAGTTTTTATTAAGAACTATGGGTTATTTAAATATGTGCTTATTTTCACACCTTTAAATAATCACCCTGTAACAGTGATCAAATTTGGTCTGTATTATGTCATAATATAAAATGGTATTAATACAAATGTCTGAAAATTATAAAGTCTGGTAATCTAGTGTTACTGAACATAATGGTCATCTTGGTGAAGGGGCCCCAGAGGCCTAAAAAAGTTAAGTGTGCCTTGTAAAATCCTACAGGTGCTTTCAAAAATGCTATGTAAAGTAAACAAGTGTCTCTTCTTGGTTAACAAGTTTGTAATTTTAAATATAACAACTTAAGGTCTTTTGTCATCCACAGTTTTGTATATCAGATTTACTACTCATAAAACTAAAGTGTTGTTGGTTCTGTGTTTAACTGTCCTCCTATTGGTTGCAATGGACTTTTTCCAGCTACATCTATTGTATTCAGTACCTTGGGATGACTTTGTGGACTGATAAAGCCAATAATGTATTACAGGTACCAACTGGGAAAAAGTATAGTTAACTGAGTTTACTAAGATCAGAAAGTAATTCAAATCAATTGGTAATTTATAAAAAAGGTTAAAGATTTTAACAACTATAAACTGCTTTATTGTTCTGATGTATGTGACCCTATAGTTTGCTGTGAAACTAAATGCATCTATCTAATCAACTCCTCTGTATCATTTATGTATGTTTTTCTAATGTCTCTGCTGGACTAAATGTTATGTATACAAGAAAGTTATCTCAAGTGTTCATATTGCTGTAGAGTTTGATTATATTGTAATCTGTAACAAAATGTTGCCTGTAAGTTTAAACAGCTAAAGTTAATTGAAAATTCGTGTAACCTAAATCTCTGTAAACTTGTTAAAAAAAAAAAACAACTGAAAATATTTTATTACTTGTGCTTAAATTTGCTGGTTAAACAAGCTACTCCATGTTGGGTATTTAAGAGATGTTTCCAAGTACATGTATTCTTTTTTTTTTGACAGGCAGAGTGGACAGTGAGAGAGAGAGACAGAGAGAAAGGTCTTCCTTTTGCCATTGGTTCACCCTCCAATGGCTGCCGCGGCCGGAGTGCTGCGGCTGGCGCACTGCGCTGATCCGATGGCAGGAGCCAGGTACTTATCCTGGTCTCCCATGGGGTGCAGGGCCCAAGCACTTGGGCCATTCCCCACTGCACTCCCTGGCCACAGCAGAGAGCTGGCCTGGAAGAGGGGCAACCGGGACAGAATCCGGTGCCCTGACGGGGACTAGAACCTGGTGTGCCGGCGCCGCAAGGCAGAGGATTAGCCTAGTGAGCCGCGGCGCTGGCCCCAAGTACATGTATTCTTAACATTTGTAAAGGACATTGGACCTTCTGGTAAGTGTTTTCCTAAGTTGTTTTCTAATAATTAAATCTACTTGCTAAGTTTTCATTTGATATTACTCTTAAAATGTTTGTGCATGGAAAAGCTGCCCTACCTTTTTGACCCTATTGCCATATATAATTATTCCTTGTAAGATTACTTAATTACTTGGATTAAAGACTAGCATAAAAAATTAAAGCTCCCTCCAGGCAACACCACACAGAGTAACGTGTCTGTTTTGCCTCTGGTGGTGCAAGGTTTTTAAGCATGGCTGGTAACTGGTAAGATTTTGTAGTGACAATCTGGCAGTATCCTTGCTTAGCTATTTGGGTAAGGATATAAGTCAGTTCTGTTAAAGGTCAACCATGTTCAGAAATCAGAGTAACTCAGCCCAGCTAAATATTCATAAAAAACATGC